CCCATGTAAAAATAAATCAAGAAAAAACGGGATTTTAATCGATTTTTTTGTGATTAAAAATCGATTAAAATGAGACGATTTTAATCAGATTTTAATCAGATTCCTTGATTTTTAATCAATTTTAATCGATTTTAATCAGATCTCTTGCCTTTTATTCGATTATTTTTTATTTTAATCAGTTTTAATCGATTATAATTGATTATTCTTGTTTTAATGGATTTTAATTGATTATTTAATTTTTAATCCTTTTTAATCACGATAACCAAAGAATGCGTAAGTACAGATTGTTGTCATCTCGCGAATTCAGGGATGTCTGACCGAGGTTGATTTGATGTTGTACCTACTATTTGTCGACGCGAGGAGTCAGAAAAAGCAATAAAAAGCTATGATTTCTGGGATAGAACTCGAGAAAAACGCAGTTTTTCGTTAACGCGATTAAAACTGATTAAAACTCAAGGAATCTGATTAAAATCTGATTAAAATCGTCTCATTTTAATCGATTTTTAATCACAAAAAAATCGATTAAAATCCCGTTTTTTCTTAATTTATTTTTACATGGGTAAGCTTGATTTGATATTGATTTAATTACTAAAAGATGACGTCCATTATGACATTGGTTAAATGTTTGTACACATTGTTCATCTCCACCTGGAAAATGAAACCAATTTGTTCGATATGAATTTTTTTCACAACGAAATGTTGAATCTTGAAAACAATTTTTTAGATATAAAACATCAGCAAATTCATCCGATCGATCAAGATAGTTTGCATCACCAAAACCATTTTCCTAAAATTCTTCTGGGATACATAAATCATTGTAACATCGACATTCATTTATTTCCATATCAATTATATTAAATTCATTTTCAATAACATCATTTATTGATATTTTCAACCAAACCATGATTTTGAACAATTCATTATAGAATAATGCATTAGATAAAGATAAATCAATTTCATTTAAATACAATTAATATATTTTTCAACTAAATCAATTGGAGCTGACCATGATATTAATTCTTCTATGCTTATATTTGAAATACGTAATTCTTCAAATGTTTAATATTGATCTTGTCTATTAACAAGATTTCGAAATAAACTTTCACTTGTATTTGTTAGTCGAAAACAGTATGGAATCAGTTCGTTGATTACATTTGATGATTCTTGATAAGCTAATTTTTCCTTAGTTACACGATAATATAGATAATCAAATTTTAAAATATTACCATTAATCAATTCATTTGTATCATGAAGAATCAATTGACAACTGATTATTATTAATTGCAAACATATTACTAACAAAATAACTATGTCCATTTTCGAACGATCCCAAATATTCTGTAAAAACAGTGAATCTGCTATAAATGAGTAATATATATTCTATGAAGAAAAAAAGCAATCATTCGATATACCTTTTGAAGGTTAATATTCTTTGTGACAGAATCAGGCAACAACGATGACTGTCACGTTTCAAT